GTCCTTTGGAAAGGATTCATTAGATAAACTATTGCCTACAAGCGACAAGGTTACTAGTGAGGGTAGCAAAAATGATTTTGGAGTTTTCGGTATAATTTCTCCAACACAAGAGGAAGATGCATATGACTTCATATCCTTCATCCGCATTAGAAATTCACTAGCACCTAAGCAACCGTTTAGTGATAAAACTCTAACATTCTTTAACTTGCGAATGTTAATTGGAACATTATTAAGCTTACTGCATTTGCTCATGTCAAGAATAACAAGGCTATCACATCCACCAATTGACTCACACACATGAACCAAGCTTTTACAACTTTTAAGAATCAACCTCTCAAGTGCAGATAGCCCTGAGAAGTCTTTAACTCTAACAAGCTTGGAATTACTCAGATTAAGAATCTTCAATGACCCAAGAAGCTGTTACATTGAATATCCTCTAATCAGGAGTATTATAACGAAGATATTATTAGACTAAAAATGGAAGAAAAAGCTTTAATTTCATACCTTTGGCTTCTTCCAAAGCTGTGTCAGATTACTGTAAGACATGTCAAGAGCAACCAAATTTTGCATTGGTAAGTCCGAAGGTATGAATTTTAATTCGAATCCATGCATGCACAACCATCTTAAACCTTTTGGAAAATTCTTGTAAGAGCTGTGGATTTTTACATGACTGAATTGGAGCAGCTTTAGCTTATCCATCTTTCTTAATGCATTTATTCTCAATTCGACTTTTTTGCAATGAGAAGATGAAAGCATTAGGAGAAGCTGAGCAAAAAACAACCAAACTCTTAAAAAGAACTCATAGGCCATCTGGATTGGTTGAGCAGCTCTAAAATTCTTGTTCACATCATCATTTTGAAAGTTAAGATCTGTCACACTACTTATTGATCTAGGTAATGTCTCTTCCCTCAATAAATTCATGTCAAGGATAGGACCTTGAATTCTTTGGGTACCCTATCAAAAAGAAAATTACATCAAGCATCCATTGTTATATAGATGATAAAGGTAACTAATACTCTTAATGACTATGTTGTATTTACCTTGTCTTTTTTCAACAAATCGAGGGACTCCTCATGTTTCCATACACGACTACGCTTCCATGGCTTATCAGGTGATTCTTTGCGGACTAAATCTCTCCCCATATCTTGAAGCAACTGATGCATTGTAAACTCATTATCATCTCCAATTGTGAGAAGACATCTATCAATGAGCTTAGTGATCCCATATGATGTTTGAAACCTGCATTCCTTTAATATTGTTTCTGTAACTTCTCTTTCTTTTCCAACAAAAAAGCAAGCAATGTGCTTAAAAAGTTCTTTGCAGTTCCCTGATAAAGAATCAAAGCTAATTTGCAGAACCACTTGTATATTCTCGTGTACATCAGTTAAATATCCTTTTGCCTCCAACATTTCAAGGACATCACTCCATATGGCTGCATCTTTATTAATGAACTACCCAAAACTTTAAGAGCCAATGGATGTCCTCCACAATACTCTGCAAGTTGTTGTGCTTCTTTCTCATAACCTTTCTTGGGATCAATGTTTCCAAATGCATGCCAACATAAAAGTCTCACAGATTCAGTATGACTTAAGCCACTTAGTGCATGCTTTGTATGTTTTGGAGGAAATTTCATATGAAACAATGAACACTTTTCTGTTATGCACCCATCTTTGGTTGTTACTATAATCTTGCTTCCTTGATTATAAACACTTAAAGTTATGAGTGAAAAAGGTTAATTTTCTTATTATGAATCTGTGATCTTTATACAGAGGATTTACAACAACTTTGCTAACTATCTGGATGAGATAAGTACAACAATATCTCCTGTGATAAAGGAAGAGCATACGTACAAAGAAAAGGTCAAGAGTATAATAACTCAATACCCTCCTGCAAGCTCACGATCGGTTACGAACGAGCAGCTTGGATCGTAAGTTCTTGGAACGGGAAGAGCTCACAGCCTTTGTAAAGATGTCTGCAATTTGATCGACAGACTTGACATGCCGAACAATTAATTCACCCGCTTGTACTTGCTCCCGAACAAAATGATAGTCAAGCTTGATGTGTTTTGATCGCTGATGAAACACAGGGTTGGCAGTGAGAAAAGTGGCACTGAGATTATCACATAATATGATTGGCGGGCCATGAGACAATACTCCCATCTCCTGCAAAAGTTGTTGAAGCCAAATGAGCTCAGTAGAAGCAAAAGCAATGGCCCGGTACTTGGCCTCGGTGCTGGACCTAGACACGACTTTCTGTTTCCGTGAAGACCAACTGATTAGATTTCCCCCGAAATAAATGGAGAAACCATGTTGGGAACGACAGTCATCAATATCCGATATCCAACCAACATCAGTAAAACAAACAAGTCTAGAATCTCGAGATGGATGAAAGAAAAGGCCAACATTCAGAGTGCCTTTGAGATGGCGTAATATTCGTTTAACTGCAACCCAATGATGTTCAGATGGATTATGCATAAACTGGCAGACACGATTAGCAGAGTAAGCAAGTTCGGGACGGGTGATTGTGACATATTGTAATGCTCCCACAATGCTTCTGTAAAGGTGAAAATCTGCAAAGGCGTCGCCTCCCTGTGTTAGTCTTGAACCAGGAACAGCCGGTGAAGAGATGGGTTTGGCTCCCATCATCTGGCTGCGATCAAGAAGGTCTAAAATGTACTTTCTTTGAGAGAGAAGTAGCCCGGAAGAGTTGCGATGAACTTCAATGCCTAAGAAAAAGTTGAGGGAACCCAAGTCTTTCAAAGAGAAAACTGAGTTGAGATAGTTGACAAAATCATCAATAAATGAAGAATTCGAGCCGGTGATGATGAGATCATCCACATACACAAGCACATAAACCACATCATTACCATGGCGCTTGATGAACATAGAAGTATCAGAAACACATTGCTTGAAACCATGATGAAGCAGGGCCTAATTTGATTTAGTTTCTGAAACCATGCCCGCAGAGCTTGTTTCAGGCCATAGAGAGCTTTCTTAAGTTTGCAAACATGAGATGGACGATCAGGTGCAACAAAGCCTTGTGGCTGCTCCATGTAAACCGTTTCCTCCAAATTGCCATTGAGGAATGCGTTATTAATATCCACTTGTCGAAGAGACCAATTTTGAGTAATGGAAATGCTTAGTACCAAACGAATTGTAGTCGGTTTTATCACCTGACTAAAAGTGTCAAAGTAGTCAAAACCCTCCTCTTGATTGAAGCCTTTTGCCACTAGTCGCGCCTTATAGCGCTCAATAGATCCATCCGGTTTTCTCTTGATCCGGAAGACCCACCTACAACTCACAATATTAGAAGCAGAATGCCTAGGAACTAAGTCCCATGTTGCATTAGTCATTAAGGCGCCAAACTCTAACTGCATAGCATGTTGCCAATTTGGGTTTTTTTTGGCTTGTAAAAATGTTTTGGGTTCAAAATCAAAAGAGTCACATGTTAGAGGATATTTAGTGGTAAGGTATGATTTTGGTTTAAGCGAGCGAGTAGAAGCACGGGTGATCATACTATGTTCAGAGTTGTTGGATGGGCGGAAATATGATGGAGCTTGTGGATATATTGTGACAGGTGACAAATTTGGTGACAGGGATGGTTCCACCAATGTATGGTTTGTATACGAGACACCAGAAGGAGGAGGTTGTGGTGAAGTGGGGGCGGATGTTGGCTGAACAGAAGAAGATGGGGTTGAGGTAACAGGGCACTTCATTGACGATGCAGTTTGGAGTGTGTGAAGAGGTAAATCTGAAAGAGAAGGTGATGTTGCGGTTGGCTGAGAGCTGTGTTTAGGGAACGGAAAAGAAGTTTCATCGAAAACAACATGGCGAGCAATGTAAGTGCGAGATGAAGGAACATGAAAGCATATATAAGTATATAACCTTTGTGTTTTGCACTGTAACCCAAGAATATGCATGCAGCAGATCGAAATTCCAATTTGTTACTATTATAGGGTCGAAGATAAGGGTAACATAAGCAACCAAATGATTTAAGAAAATTATAATCAGGTTGGCGGTTGTACAAACATGCATAAGGTGATTTGTTTTTGAGAATTGGTGTGATGGTTCTATTATTCAAGTATATAGCAGTATGAAAGGCTTGTTCCCAAAAACCTACAGGAAGATTAGAATGAGCTAAGTGCAAGACTTTTTTCAACCACAATACGATTGCGCCTTTCAGAAGCTCCATTCTGCTCAGGAGTGTGAGGACACGAGACCCGATGCAAAATTCCTTGTGTTTGTAGAAAAGATGAAACATTACGATATTCGTCATCCCAGTGAGATTGAAAAGCTTTTATTTTTGTGGAAAATTGTGTTTCAACCATGGTTTTAAACAATGAGAATGCTGAGAAAACTTAAGATTTATTTGATAAGAAATAAGCCCAAGTGAATTTAGTGCAATCATCAATGAAGAGAACTAAGTAGCATTACCATTCATAGATAACACAGGAGCAGGGCCCAAACATCAGAGTAAATTAGATTAAAAGGACATTCGGAAGGAACATGACAAGTTGGTAAATGATGTTTATGACTTTTACCTAACTGACAAGCATTACAAAGAGGTAATGACTTATTTTTGGAAATTGGTAAACTAAATTCAGCTATTTGACGACGCAAAACAGGTTCATGTGGATGAGCAAAACGGTGACGCCAACATGAAATAGATGCACGTTCACCCACAAAGACTTTAGGACCAAATGATGACGAACTGGTAGGAAGCCCATACAAACCATTTTCAACAATTCCCTTGAGTATTATGTTCCCCTGCGAACTCTTAACATAACAATGATTAGGGTGGAGCTCAACAAAAACCTTGTTATCTTTGCATAATTGAGACACACTTAGAAGATTTTTGGAAATTTTTGGAACTACAAGAACATTTTTAAGTGCCAAGGAATTAGGAGCATGTTTAGAGGATAAAGTGGAACGACCTATATGAGTAATAGGAAGAGACTGACCATTCTCAACAGTAAGATTGTCGGCACCCTTGTACTCTGATTAAAGATTGAGATTTTCAAAGTCAGCGGTCACATGATGTGTAGCACCCGAGTCAACCACCCACGGATCAGTCGGGGCCGATGGACTTGTGGTGTAAGTTGAAAATGCTTGTTTGGCTAAGGATTGAGATTGGCGATGACGATCAGCTGCTTTACGATTTGTTGTTGGAAAGGCGGTGAGATTGAGTCGCTGATGGCAGTTGTGAGCCTCGTGATAAGGCTTGGTGCAAATTTGACAAACTAACTGTGGGCGATCACCAGTTGTTGTCTGATAGGGGGAGAGGATATGCGAGTAGGCGAGACCTTTTTGGCTGCAAAATTAGCTGATGGCAGTAGAGAATCAGTGCATGAGTCATGAATTCTCTGTTCTTCTTGAAGAAGGAGGCCAAGTAGTTCGTTTGATGTGATCGGTTCCACACGTATGCTAAGAGTAGTTTTGAAAGCACCATATTCAGCACCTAAACCAAAAAGAATATAAGACACAAAGTCTTCATCAGAGACATCTGTTAAGCATTCAAGTAGTGAGTCAGAGATAGCTCGCTTCTTCTCAACATATTCTAGAATTGACAGAGATCCCTTTGTGAGCATTTGAAGTTGTTGTTTAAGATGCATCTGACGCGCCCGGAGTGAAACATTTGCTCAAGCATGATCCAAACCTCTGATATGGTGGTGGATCGGACAACATGACCAAGCACAGGGGCGGTGAGAGTTGAACGGACCCACAGTAGAACAAGTCGGTCCTTGCGTTTCCACGCTACAAACTCTGGATTCGGATCACAAACAGTAGAGCCTTCTTTGGGCGCTAATGTTGACGAAGGGGCATTGCCGGAGACCAAGAAGGAATCAAGTTCATAAGCTTCAAGGGCTGAACGAACAGTTCCACGCCAAAGAGAGTAATTTGTGCGATCAAGACGGACAGCGAGTGACGGAAATTGAAGGTTTGCCGAGGCACCGCCGGAAGCTGAAAAGAGAATAGCGGAAGTCATAGTGGAGTTATTGTTTTCAGGTGCCATAATGTGGAATCGGTAGGCTCTAATACCATATAAACACTTAAAGTTATGAGTGAAAAAGGTTAATTTTCTTATTATGAATCTGTTATCTTTATACAGAGGATTTACAACAACTTTGCTAACTATCTGGATGAGATAAGTACAACAATATCTCCTGTGATAAAGGAAGAGCATACGTACAAAGAAAAGGTCAAGAATATAATAACTCAATATGGATGAAAACCTTTTGTTCCAATCAACACATCCAGTTGCTCAAAGTTATCTACATCATCAAGAACCAAAAGTGTTTTTTTCCTAGATAATGCTTTTTCAACCTTAGATGTGAAACGATCTGCATCATGTTCTTCAATATTTCTTTTCTTGAGAATGTCTCCAAGAAGCTGTTTTTGCAAATCTAGTTGCGAACATATCTGTTGTGCGCATCTTCTTCCAATGCCTTCAACAAAGCTACTTCAGAAGATCCTCTTTTTAACCAGGAACGGATGATATTAATAGATTTTTCCATCCCAAATAGGGGTGGGATTCTCCTTTGCAAGTGTAGTTCCTATGAGGATTTAATTCGTGATTCTAATTCATGTAAATCAGATACAATATATACACGTACAAATATAACAGCTAGCCCTATAATAAAGGAATTTAAATAATACAAATACAATCTTATCTAAAACTTTAAATTTTATCGCTTATACTCCCCGTCAATCGGAACGGTGGAGGTCCAACACGAAGCTTGGTGCGAAAACGTTCAAAGATTGGTCGCGGAAGACTTTTAGTGAAGATGTCGGCTAGCTGCAAGTGAGTGGGAATAAACTGTGTATCGAGTTTACCAGAGGCCACTAATTCACGAATAAAGTGATAATCGATATCAATATGTTTGGCGCGTTTGTGGGAGACAGGATTTTGGCTCAAGAAAAGCGCACTTTTGTTGTCACAAAGAAGTGTAGGAACCGATGGTGGCAAAGCATGCAACTCGCGAAGAAGGTGAGTAACCCAAATAATTTCTGAAGCGGTGTTTGCCATAGCCCTATACTCGGATTCAGTGCTGGATCTGGAGACAGTGGGTTGCTTTTTGGCACTCCAAGACACTAAATTTCCGCCAAGAAAAATGGAGTAACCATAGGTAGACCGTCTTGTTTCAATGCACCGTGCCCAATCGGCATCAGAATATCCAATCATGGAGGAGGAATGAGGCCGATGAAAGTGCAACCCGTAGGAGATGGTACCTTTAACATAGCGCAAGATCCGTTTTACAGCCTGAAAGTGAGCATTATTTGGAGATTGTAGAAACGGGCTCACTTGATTTACTGCAAAGGACAAGTCAGGCCTGGTAATAGTTAAGTATTGAAGGGCTCCAACTAGTGAACGATAGAGCGTGGGATCCGAGAATAGAGTGCCAGTTGTGACCAAGTAGTCGGTAGTGGACAATGGTGTAGTGACGGGTTTGGCCTCGAGTAAACCGGCTCGAGTAAGAATATCATGCGCATATTTGGCTTGGGTTAGAAAAAGATCATAATCCGTATATGTAACCTCAAGACCAAGAAAATAATTTAACTGACTCAGATCTTTAGTGGCAAATTCATTGTTTAAGCGTGCAATGAAAGTGCTAATGAGAGATGGGTTGTTACCGGTTAGGATGATGTCGTCAACATAGACAAGTAGATAAAGCAAAGTGGCGTCTCTGTGAAAGATGAATAATGAGGTGTCGGCTCTACTACAACTGAACCCAAGACTGAGAAGGAAGGTGCTAAGGCGGTGAAACCATGCACGGGGTGCCTGTTTGAGGCCATAAAGAGCCTTGCGGAGACAACACACATGTAAGGGAAACTTTTCATCTATAAATCCGGGAGGCTGCTCCATGAACACCGTATCTGAGAGTTGACCATTCAAGAATGCATTTTTGACATCAAGTTGGTGAAGAGGCCACTTTTGCATGACAGCAAGAGAAAGTACAATTCGAACAGTGGAAGCCTTGACCACCGGACTGAAGGTGTGTGAATAGTCAATGCCGGGTACTTGAGTGAAGCCTTGAGCAACGAGGCGTGCTTTGTACCTGTCAATGGTGCCATCAGAATGAAACTTGGTACGAAAAATCCATTTGGAGCCAACAATATTGGTGTTGGGAGGACGAGGAACGAGCTCCCATGTTTCATTAGAATGTAATGCAGCCATTTCTTCTTCCATAGCCATTAACCATTGTGGATTCTTGGCCGCAGACTTGAATCCTTTAGGAACTGAGGTAGTGAGTAAGGCTTGAAAGAGAGTTGTTGTGCCAAGAGATGCAAAATCGGCTCTATATTTTGGTTTAATAATACCAGCCTTGCCCCGAGTAATCATAGGATGAGTGGCTGGTGGGGGTGAGGGTGGCGGTGATGGAGAAGGTGTAGCCGGTGGAGTGACTGGTGGCGTAACCGGAGGTGTGACAGCAGGTGACTGTTGCGGCGTCTCGGGTGGTGAAGTAGGAACCTCCGGCGGTGGCTGAGCAGTGGAACCGGCTGAGATAGGAGCGGACATAGAGCAGAAGCTACAAGGCTCCGGATCTGTAGCAGAAAGCACCTCGGCAGGAGGCTGTGGAGATGCGGCTGTGGCTGCTGAAGTTGAGAGTGATGGCAGTCCTTCATCAAATGTTGAGATGAAAAGTTTATCTAGATCCGATGCAACTGTGGAGCATGAAAAAGGAAAAATATGTTCGTCGAATTGAGCATGGCGGGTGGTGTAAATTCGATTTGTTGTAGGATCAAGACAACGATACCCTTTGTAGGCGGAATTATAACCAATGAAAATGCACGGTGCACTTCTCGGAGCCAATTTGTGTGGTGAGTAGTCACGTAAATAGGGAAACACACGACAACCGAAAATTTTAAAAATGTCATAGTTTGGCACCGTGCGATACAAGAGCTGAAATGGACTTTGATTGTTGAGGAGCTTGGTTGGAAGACGATTGATGATGAAAACCGCGGATGTAAATGCATCAACCCAAAGAGAACCCGGGGCGTGTGCATGAAATAACATGGCAAGACCGGTTTCTGTGATGTGGCGGTGTTTACGTTCGGCTCTACCGTTTTGTTGCGGGGTATAAGGACAAGAAACCTGCTGATGTATTCCGTTTTTGGCAAAAATATCTTTGACACGATGATTAAGAAACTCTATGCCCCCGTCGGTTTGGAAGTTTTTAACTTTGCAAGAAAATTGCTTTTGCACATATGTGAGAAAAGTGTCAAGGATTTGGGCAAAGTCGGATTTTTTTCTTTAACGGATAGAACCAAGTGAACCTGGAAAAATCATCAATAAAAGCTGTGCATAATAGAGATATCCATTTGTAGATTCAATGGGGGCGGGACCCTATAAGTCACAGTGAACAAGATCAAGCACATGTAATGAACGTTTCAAGTTATCATCAAACGGTAATCTTTTACTTTTAGCAAGTTGGCAAGGTGAGCAAAGGCCCGGTTTAGGGGAAACAGTAGTAAGAGATAAAGAACCCAATTTTTCCAATAACGTAACAATGTCAAAAGCTACATGTCCTAATCTACTATGCCAAATTTCAAAGGAAGCGCTAGTCCTCTTATTTTTTAATGCAGCTAAAAACGCCTTATTTCCTTGCTCAAGAATGTAAAGCCCCTCTTCACATCTACCCCTTGCTATTATATCCTTGGTGCTTCGATTCTGAATAGCAAAATATGTATTAGAAAATAAGATATCTACCGGAGAATCATGTGTTAACTTGCTAATGGAAAGCAGATTCTTGGTAATATGGGGCACCACTAGCACATCTAAAAGGGTAAGGTTATGGGAAATATGAGATGTACCAGTACCAGAGATGTGTAATAAATTACCATTGCCAACAGCAACATGATCGTTGCCTGTGTAGGAAGAGGAAGTGTCCAAATTTGAGGCTGAATGTGTCATATGTGCCGAAGCCCCAGAGTCTACATACCAATCAGAATTTGTGTTGCACTTTGACTGAAATTCATGAACCAAATTAGCATCAACTGTACCTCCTTTTGCATATGACGAGAGGTCTGGACAAGAAGACGCATAGTGTCCGTTGGTCCTACACAATTGGCAGTGTGGAGGGCGGCGGCCACCACGCCCTCTGCCACCTCCACCTCTGGAAGTTTGACCACCACGTCCTCTAGAGTTGTAGTTGGTGGGATTGCGAGGAGCTGCAGTAGTAGTGGCTGTAAAAGCAACCGGAGTAGTGGCAACATTACTGTGAATTGAAGCCATGAAAATTTCGTGGCTCTCTGCATAGGATAACAGGTTGCGGAAGGAGGGGGTAGGCTTGACAGCCCGCTGGGATGTGGAGAAAGTCTCGAACCCAGACCCAAGTCCACAAAGGAACCAGTGGGCCTTATCAGTCTCTTCAACTGGATGGCCCACAGCAGACAATTGATCGCAGACTCCCTTGAATTTTCGGCCAAACTCTGATACGGAGGAGGATCCTTTCTGCATCTGCCTAAGTGAATCTCGCAGAGTTTGAACCCTCTCCATGGAATCGTGACTATAAGCTTGCTCCAAAGCTTGCCAAATTGCGTGTGAAGTAGAAAGATTTAGCGTCTCTGCCATGGCCTCCTCAGAGAGGGAGGATTGGATAATCAAAAGAGCCCGTTGATCTGCTTCAATCCAAGATTGATGGGCGGGATTTGCGGCAGATTTACCATCGGTTTGAATGGTAGCTGAATGGTAGCAGGTGGGCATGGATTTGTACCATCGACATGCTTAAGAAGACGCTGATAGGATAAAAGGGGTTTGATTTGATTCTTCCAAATTAGGTAATTGGAAGAGGTAAGCTTTATTGTGAGCAGATGCAAAATTGTGGCAAGGGGAAGCTCTGAGGAAGACGACGCCATGGAGGGAGGAAGACGACGAGCAAGATTTGAGGTAAGATTAGGTTTTTACGCAACCCTCTCTGATACCATATGAGGATTTAATCCGTGATTCTAATTCATGTAAATCAGATACAATATATACACGTACAAATATAACAGCTAGCACTATAATAAAGGAATTTAAATAATACAAATACAATCTTATCTAAAACTTTAAATTTTATCGCTAATAGTTCCAGTCTCGTAATAATTTCTTTCACGACTTCTTCAATGACCACCGTCTCTCTTCTGAAAAAGGAATCAAATTCGATCAACTAGACACAGCAGCGCATATATCAAATTAACTAAAACTGATCAATAACTAATTAGTCTTTTGCATCATTTTAATTAATATGAGAGGGACTAAAATAAAAATATACACACAATTAAACCAAATGGTGGGGCCACTTTGTATATGTTTCCACAGCTTTGAACAGGACTTGGTTCCATTATATGATGTATGTTGGTTGTAGTTCTCCATACAGAAGTGAAGAAGTTTGTGGAAATATAGTATGAATGTTTTACCTTCCACTTGCATCTTTTCCTTTCAAATCAGCAATCTCTGTAAGTCCTTTCGTCCACATCTCCAACTTATGAGCACTTCAATTTTCTTCTCCGCATCCTTTTCGGACTCAATCCTCTGTTTGTGTTTAAATAACGCTTTTCCAAAAGTGCTTTCTTGCTTCCTGATATGTGTCGGCTCAACGTTGTAAAAAATGGGGAGAACAATATGGTCAGAGACCCGTCGTTGCTCTAAGATCATCAAGAGCTCGTCCAGACACCATGTTGAAGTTGCGTAGTTCTTAGACAAGACGATTATCGAAGCACGAGAGCTTTTTATAGCTCTTGCAAGTTCTGGTTTATGTTTTTCACCAGTTTCAGCCTCTTCCTCATCAAGAAAGGTAGAGATGTTTTCATTCACCAAAGCTTGGTAGAGGTGATCCGTAAAACCTAGATGAGTGTCTTTCCCTCTGAAACTCAGGAAAACATCATATGTCATTGCTGCATCTTGTTCTTCTGGTAATTCAGTGAGGATGGCCATGGAAGTTGAGAAGAATTACGAGAGTGTATATGATCAGCTGGGATTATAAGTTTCACTACTTCTGATTTTGGTTGTCTTTGATCTAAACTAGTCAATCGTTTGGTAGCAAGTTCAATGTTTGTTGCCTTGTTTAGCCTAACTTCGTCTGCAGTTCAAAAGATTCTTCTTGGCTTTTCTAAAAGACAACAATAAAATATGATTTGTAAAGTTTAAAAAATATTAAACTTTGGCTTATTAAGGAGTTTTATAAATAGCTACTATTACATAAATAATAGAGAAAATTGCAAAAATGGTCCTTGTAATAACTTTCAAAGTTGTAAGTTTGGTCCTTTGGGATTGTACAGTGTAAAATGATTTTCAAACTTGTAGGTTTGGTTTGTTTTGTTTTATATATTTTTTTATCATTAATTTAAATGCTTAAATATTAGAGAAAAATCTCATAATAGCCATTTTTTAAAACTTTTTAGTTTTTAACATAAAATAGCCATTTATAACTTTTAAAAAATATTAAATTTTGGCTTATTATGGAGTACTATAAATCGCTATCCTCCCTAATAAATGAAAATAATTTTGTCACATGTCACTCACTCACTAACTTGGACACATGTCATTATTTGGTATTTTTGAATAAATGTTTTTTCCATTTGTCATTTTCTCACTTTTTTTATTTTTTGTTAATTAACACATCATATTTACACATCAATTAATAATTGTCTTAAATGAAAATAACTAATAAATTACAATATTAGTACTCATATAATATTTAATACTCCCTCCGTCCCAAAATTATAGTTCATCTTTCCTTTTTGGTTTGTCCCAAAATAATAGTCCACTTCTAAAAATAAATAACATTTTTACCAAAATACTCCTTCATTATTACTTAACCAACTAAACATTTAATGAAACATTAAATGCAAAGTAAGGACAAAACTATCATTTTATTAAATAAAGTTAGTGGTAATTAATGTTTTTCTTAATATGTGTGTTTTTTGTCTGTGGACAATAATATTGGGACATAGAGAGTATGTTTCCTTTTAAATTTAAATTTTGAATTTTAAATTTTAAATCTAAAATTTCAAATTTAAATAAATTTTTGTTTACACTTTCATATTTAATCTTTTGTTTTATCAAACCCGTATAACATACGAGTTTCACACCTAGTTTATTACATAATAAACAATAGAGAAAACTGCAAAAAAAAAAAAAAAAAAAAAAAAAAAAAAAAAAAAGGTCGTGGGCTGAAGGCGTGGTGGGCTGGACATCTGGATTAGTTGCTCCTCCTTCTCTCTGTACGTGAACGACGGCCAACTTCTCTCTCTCTCTCTCTATAGGTTAGATTTTTATACCATCGTTTAATTTTGTTGACTTCAACGATTATCCTAAAAAATACAATCGATTCTAAAGTCTGATGATAATATAATACATGAAGTGTTTTGGAAGTCCCTAATTAAGTTCCCGACGTAGAGGTTCACGCTGCAAAGAAGGATGAAACGGCACCGGAGAGACCTAAATGGACTTTGCTCGGTTTGAAGACAAGCCAGAAAACACACAAGACTCTACAACCGCTACAGGGTTTAGAAACAAAGAGAAAGCTCTTGTAACTTTCTCACGTTGCATCAATTTGAGATTACATGTTTTTTGATTTGTTCACTTTATGCCACTAATCGTATCTAACACGGTTTTGTTTGGAAGTTTATAACTAATTTCTTTGAATCGGTGATTTTAGTCATATCAGGTATCGGCATCTGATGTTGAATTTGGTATCAATTTTGCCTCACTGCAAGAAAGATAACAATATTGAGTTCAAGGCTACCACAGGAGCAACCCTAAATGAGCTTGTTGAACTTAATTAAGAGTTGTTAGTCTTGTCTCTTCTTTGAGGTTACGTTGTTTTCCATATTTTTACTATCTATGAACTTATGAGCCAATCTTCTGATCACAAAAACACGAATCCATAGTTAAAACATTTCCCATTGAATAGTTCTTCTACATTGTCACTTTTATGTCTTAGTAGTTTTCTCATACAAATTAACATCAACACCATGCTAGATGAGTAAGTCAAGTATGTCATGTAGAAAGACGCAGATTTGTAATATAACATCTCAGAGCATATTTCATTGGTTTATCTCCATCCTTTGAGCACTCAAATCCCATGTATATGTTGTAATGTTCATTCTCTCTTTCAGTGTAGGAAACACAAAGATCTTTATTTGTGGATGTCCAAATGCCTGAATGCCCTACCCAACATCTGTTTGGAGATGATGAAATATGGGAGCATTATGGTGGCGGGAGAAAGAAAACAAATGAAAATCTTCCAGATGTAATCCGCCCTAGCTACAAGAACACAAGGTAATTGAAATGAAGATCCACAAGTAGTAGTTCTTTCTTCAGTAAATGTAGACCACCTGTTTGATAAAATGTCTGAATAAGGAAAGATTCTTATAAACCTACTTAAATCTGAAATTGTGATGCTTTACAGGAGGAGAGCATTGAGTAATATCAACAAGAACATCATCAGAGCTCCACCAACATATCCTTATGCTGCTAACGGTTTACCAGGGTAATAAAATCAACTCATGTATCTTTCTTATTCATCCATTAGCCTTTGTGAACAATGATCTTTTCTTTCCTCAAGTACCCATGTTGATATTCTCTATTCTTTTTTTCTAGAAAACAACCCATGGTTAGTAAGAAACTTGTTCCAGTCTACCCATTACTATGTCTGTAAAAGGCCTTATTTCTTGATTTTGTGGATACATTGTGATTTCTTTTTAAAGATTGTAAGAATCTGCCTACAGTTTAAGCGACTTTAAGCCCTATTTTTATTTCTTTTATGGTATATCTAAGTTTGCATATTGTATACATCAACTTCCTTTTGATGACAGGGTAAAAAGCCAAAATTCCAAATTATCTCTTATGAGATTGACACTGAAAACTTGAGCATCATTGATGCTGAAGATGATTTCAATGCACCAATGTTTGTTCAACATACAGAAGCTATGCTGGATGACATAGAGACGATGGTAATTTAATTTCTCATCTTTGCTTTTAATCTTTTTGTTCTTTGCTTCTTTTAAGTTGAAAATAGCTTAAAGGTATTGGAACCTTATTTCATGTTTGCTTTTAATCTTCTTGTTCTTCTTCTTTGGACATTAACATTGCTGATCGAGTACATTGATGAAATTTTCACCCACTACCAAAACAAGAGGTAGATTTAATCTTTTTTGTCTATATGTACATTTGTCATTAGGATTCTTGTTTCATGTATTCATGTGCATTCATTGATGGAAGATTTGTGTCTCTACTAGAAGTAAAAAAAATGAGTAGTGGGGCACCATAAATTCCATACACATGGGCTAAACTAGCAAACTGATTACAATTCTATTTGGGGGCAAAAAATATCTATGTATAAGGCCTAATAAAAAAACATGGAAGTACGATGCTATGTATGAGTAAAATTTTGAAATATAATGCCTTAATATGGAAAATAGGTCAAAGTTGAATTAATTGCAAGAAATAGCATAACGTTTATAAGCTGTGGAGTGGTTTGAAAGCTGTGGTTTGAAAGCTGTGGAGTTTATGTAAGAACATCATATTTAATCATTGGATCCTTATGATTATTGAAAAGACCAACATATTCATTCTATACGTTCAGCTGGGCATTTAATTGTATTAATTTTATAAAACATATTTAAGCATTATATAAGGTTAAACAAGCAACAAACCTGGACAATTATGATGAATACAAGTTTCAATGATACAAACAAGTTTGTACACATAGCATCTCCTACCAAACATTCAACATCGATCGATCCCAATATATCAATACCATAAGAAATGAAGATATGGTTGAGAACTTTTACCAAACACCTAATGTGCATATGAAAATGAAAATGGTTCTTATTTAAAGCAATTCTTTTACATGGAAATGTCTAAACAAGAAATTCTCTTTGCAATACAGTTGCTTTAAGGGACACAGAGGCAGAGAGAAACCTGCAACAAAGTTGGATTATGCTGGAATCAACACCAAAAAGCAGAAATAATATTAAATCCCCCCTTAAACTTTTGCTTCGCTGACCGAAAGAGCCATCACCTAATATACAACTTTAATCGACGAAATACAAATGGAATCAAAGACCAGTGGAAACAATCTCTCTTTCTGCTAAGTTTTGAAAAATATGGGAGGAGAGAGCAGTGACAATAGAGGGAAATAATCAATATACTACGACATATCATATACATACAACTATCATGCTACTCCACCTCACTCCTATATATGTTTAGCACATTCTTTATATATTTATCATAAAAAAAACGAATCATTACATTGTGGATGCCTAATCGGCAATATAATCATTGGCCAATAGCCCTTTTTTATACGACACCGCTGATGCTAATTTATTAGTAAAATACATACACTTATTATCACAAATCCCGATATAGATATCTAGCTCTATGCATGGGTTTTATGCCCGTCCAACTATGAACACCTTCTTCATGATAATAAAATTTGCTCCTTTGGGTAATGAGGTAATTTCCTTCTGTGAATTCAAAACGTGGGGCACATTCACCAATCATGACTTTCCATGACTTGTAATAACCCAAAGGATCTTCTTCTTTGTCTCCAGCAATGTATACAGGGCTTATTGCGCACTCCTTTACTATTACACCATCCTGTTCTTCATCTTCTTCCTCATCATCTATTATGTTAATACTAACTTTATCGCCAGCTTCAAGCTCGTTGTTAGCAAACATCCAATGGCTTAACCAAACTAAACCTCCATTCTCTGTTTGAATAGCAGATACACATCCATAATACGTCCAGCTGCGATTTTTTGTCACATTAGTTATTTTTATTCCTAAAACACTAACCCTCCCTGTACCAGGAAACATATGCACAAAGCCTATATTTAATCCCTGCAGGATCCTTTTATTCACTGGAGATGATGGAATAGTAAATGATAATGATGACCCACTGCTTCTGTCACGGAACCAATTTGGAAGCTCTTCCCCAGGAAAACATGTGCTGAATATTCCATATTCAAAAAACATCTGCATGCATATAAGTTAATATTTTTAATTCATGGTTGTGTTGTACATCTGTGTGTGTGTGTGTGAGTGAGAGAGAGAGGGAGGGAGAGAGAGAGAGAGAGAGAGAGAGAGAGAGAGAGAACCTGGATCGGAAGTTTCTTTCCGCTTACCCATGAATGTGAATTCCAGATCGTTAGATCCAGATATTTCATATGCTGTAAATTTGTCCACCCTAAACTGCATAGTATTTCTTCATCAATTTGCGCTAAAGCTTGGATTTTGATTGTCCCTTCAACTTCTGTCACCGACTCCGACAAACCGTAATCACAAATTTGTGGTATTGGCTTTATTGGATGAAATGTTACTTTAACAAGTGATCGACAGTTATCCACACGCAAATCTCTTAGTGTACTTATAGGGCAGCAAACTGATGCTAACTTTAAACACCCTCCAAGACTGAGTTTATGGAGCCTGCTAAGGCTTCTCACACAATCAGGCAAAGAATCAATTGGATTTCCACCTAAATATAATTCCTTCAGCTTTGACAAGCTACTAAAGTCTGTGGGAAAGGATTCAGTCCGTAAATTATTATTTTGAAGGGACAAGGTTGTTAGTGATGGAGCCAACGAGAGACAAAGTGATTTTGGACTTGCTGGTATATAATTTGTAAGCGAAGTGAAAGAATTATCTGGTTTTATGCTAATATCGTCAGCATTTTGCACTTTCATCTCACTGGAGGCACTTGCGCCTATGCAACCATTTATTGATAGAACTTTAAGTTTCCTTAACTTGCCAATGCTGCTTGGAATCTTTTGAAGCTCCTTGCAGTAGCTCATATCAAGAAAAACAAGTTCATCACATCCACCAATTGATTCACACACCTCAGTCAATCTTTCACATCCTACTAATATCAATCTCTCAAGTACAGGTAGCCCAGCGAAGCCACCAATTCTAACAAGCTTGCAATAACTCAGGTTAAGAATCTTTAATGACACAAGAATCTGATGCATTGAAGATCATTCAATCAAGAACGGTATTAGAAAGATATTATATAGGCAATTAAAAACTGAAGTAAATTAAATCTGTGAATTCAATACCTTTGGTTTCTTCCAAAGCTGTGTGAGATTACTGTAAGACATGTCAAGAGCAACCAAATTTTCCATTGGTAAGTCTGAAGGTATGTATTTCAATTGGAAGCCATGCATACACAATCCTCTTAAACCTTCTGGAAAATTCTTGTAGGATCCTTTGAGCTTTACATGATTGAGTTGGAGTAGATTTAGTTTATCCATCTTCCGTAATGCATTTGTTCTCAATTCAATTTTCTTGCAACCAGAAGATGGGAACTTCAGAATGCTATGGTTTGATGGGCCTATTCCAAAAATCATGTTTGGATCATTGTCTTCCAATTCGTGCCCTGCAACACTTAATCCACGTAAAGGTTCTTTCTCTAACAATTTCATGTCAAGGACAAGACCTTGGATCTTTCCTGTACCCTAGTCATGAAGATAATGATGGATAGCCTTATATGCAAAGTGTTTAATGGATGAAACAAAAGTAATGATTATATATGAAGAGTATGTTATTTTTATTACCTTGTCTTCTTTCAACAAATTGAGGGACTCCCCATGATTCCATATGCGACTACGTTTCCATGGCTTCTCAGGTGATTCCTTGCGAACTAAATCCCTCCCCATCTCTTGAAGCAATTGATGCATCCTCAACTCATTTCTTGCTCCATTTGTTAGAAGACATCTATCGATGAGCTTTTTGATCCCGTATGTTGTGCGAATACCACATTCCTTTAATATTGTTTCGGTTGCTTCTCTATCTTTTCCAACGAAAAAACATGCAATATGCTTAAACAATTCTTTGCAATCTTCAGATGGCAAAGAATCAAAGCTAATCCGGAGTACCTTTCGTACATGAGTGTGGAATTCTCCTGTCTCTAGCATTTCAAAGGTCTCACTCCATGTGCCCACATCTTCGTTATTTAGGGAACTACCTAAAACCTTAAGCGCGAGTGGATGTCCTCCACAAAACTTTGAAGCTCTTATTGCCTCTTCCTCATAGCCTTCCTTAGGATTATAATGTCCGAACGCATGCCAACATAAAAGTCTTAGAGATTCTGTAGCACTTAAACCATAAAGTTCATGCTTTGTATGTTTTGGAGGTAATTTAATGCCAAAAATTGCACTTTTTTCTGTTAACGGCCCATCTTTGGTTGTTAATATAATCTTGCTTCCTGGATGAAAACCTTTTGTTCCAATCAACACATCTACCTGCTCAAAGTTATCGACACCATCAAGAACAACAAGTGTTGGTTTATTAAATAATGCTTTCTCAATCTTAGATGTGCACACATCTACATCATGTTCTTCAATCATTCTTTTCCTTAGAATGTCCCCAAGAAGCTGTTTCTGTAAATCAAGTAGTGCATATGTTTGTTCTGCACATTTTTCTTTCAATGTCTTCAACAAAGCTACTTCTTTCAAATTCATGGCAGTGCAACCTATAGATATATTTTGCCAAAGTTGTCTTTCCGATCCCCGCCATTCCCCATATTGTGAGAATTTCAGCAGATTTTGATGATGATCCTCCTTTCAACCAGGAACTTATGGAAAGAATAGACATGTCCATCCCAATTAGATGGGGGATTTTAGTCTGTGTGTGTAGTTCCAGTCTACTACTAATTTCCTTCACGAGTTCCTCAATGAATACAGTCTCTCGTCTGAAAATTGAATTAAATATGATATACAAGTCACAACCCATGTAAATCAAAATTAAATGTAATCCATAATTAGTCTTTTGAATCCTTCGAATCTATTTCAAGACTCCATTATGACCCGAATGAATTCCTCGATGATACAGGGCTTAAAAGGTTTGTTTGAGAGCTTGACTGAAACGAAAAATTTTGACAGACGAAAATGCTATGAAACTATATCAGATGGCTTCAACAAGATTCAAGATAATAGTTTTATTTGAAAAGTGTTTCGATTGTCAAGGAGTCTGTTAGCAAAGTTGTTTTTTTATTACACCAGTTAAATTGATTCGCTTTTACTTTTCCTTGTTTCCTATTGCATCCTGAATAGGCTGATAGTATACTGTCGATACAAAATGATAAGAGTTCTGCGGAAATATAGTATGAATGTTTTACCTTCCAGTTGCATCTTTTCCTTTCAGATCAGCAATTTCTGTAAGTCCTTTCGTCCACATCCCCAACTTATGAGCACCTTGAATTTTCTTCTCCACATCCTTTTCAGACTCAATCCTCTGTTTGTGTTCAAATAATGCTTCTCCAAAAGTGCTTTCTTGCTTCCTGATATGTGTCGGCTCGACGTTGTAAAAAACAGGGAGAACAATATGATCAGAGACCCTTCGTTGCTCCAGGATCATCACGAGCTCATCCAGACACCATGTTGAAGATGCGTAGTTCTTAGACAACACAATTATCGAAGCATGGGAGCTTTTTATAGCTCTTGCAAGCTCGGGTTTAAGTTCTTCCCCAGTTTCAACCTCTTCCTCATCAAGAAAGGTAGAGATGTTTTCATTCACCAAAGCTTGGTAGAGGTGATCCATAAAACACAGACGAGTGTCTTTCCCTCTGAAACTCAGGAAAACATCATATGTTGTTATTGCTGCTTCTTGTTCTTCTGGTAATTCAGTGAGGATGGCCATGGAAGTTGAAAAGAATTACAAGAGTGTATATGATCAGCTGGGATTATAGGTTTCGTTGCTTCTGATTTTGGTTGTCATAGATCGAAATTCGATATGAATGTCTAGTGTTTGGTAGCAGAGTCAACGTTTACCAAAGTCAAATTTTGTTTTCTTGTATAGCTGACTTGTTTCTTGGCTTTTCGAAAAGGCAAACACTACATATGATATTTTAGCTGAGAAAATATTGAATTTTGGCTAATTAATTGAGGAGTATTATAAATAATTAATAACTACTTAAACAATACTATTAAAAATGTGATAATCTATTATTTTACAAGGCGTATAGTATTTTGATAAAATTAACTAAGATAAAATTGTCACTATGTTTTTCACTTCTTCACATTAGAGTAAATTACCCGAATTGTCCATATGGTTTGGGTAATGTATGCAT